CTCACGTTGCCAATATGACTAAGACAGCATGAATCGCAGTCAAATTATGAGTAAATCAAATGAACAAACCCATCAATATTATGTGAAACGTAAAATGCAATACCATTTCATAACCAGCTAAACGGACGCAATACGCACATTTTTAACGGAAACTGTAACAACTATGGCAACTAAACCAGTGTCTTATCATACTTACCCAAACAACAATAGCTTTTGGTAAAGTTACCGGGTCAGTTTTGTATATTTTTTGCAGCGGTCTTATCTTAAAGCACACTACACGCAGGTATATTTTAGACATGTCCATGTACATATATTTCGCCAGCAAGTTCTTGATGAATAGATCCATTATTATTGACATTTACTAGTTTGTATTATCCAGGTACATGTAGCATCATTTGTATATGTATACAATATTTTAACAATATTGTTTTTAGACTAGGATGTCGTAAGAGGCAACTCAAGGAATAAAATACAACAGACACTGGTGTGTTGTAGACCTGCTAGAGACGAAAATCTCAAAATATAACAGCCTGTGAATTTTAATTAGGCTAATATTCGCCTCTTATAATCTAACACCTTAATGGGTTACTATAATGAAGATACAAATAAAAAAATTATCAAAACCCAAATTGTGCTTGAGGAAAAACCATATCGAATGTCCAAATAATCGGCACACACCTACGTAAATAAGTAATCTATAAAAAATATTAGAATAAATTAATAATAAATACAGTGCTAAAGTACTCCTATCAAACATCAAAGATGTTTAATAGGAGCTATTAGGACAGGAGCATCCAGAAGTAAGAAAGAAAGAATTTTCTTTTCACATTTATTATGTTGATTTTTATTGAATTGAAAATGACAATGAACTGAAAACTTAAATAGTTTTTTTCATCTTTCCTTGTTTACGAGTATGGGAAATATGTGGAATGATATATGCAGGTATGTTGGCAAAATGTTACTAAACTCAGTGGTCCTCCGATCATTGAGGTAACTAACGGTCACTCGAACGAGACAAAACTAGTCTACATGTAACCGGAAAAATAACGTTTTCGGGGCACGTTCGTAAGACGGCGTGGGCTTAAATCGAACTACCTGATACGAGACCCGAATGTAATACCGCACGCAGGTGGCATCATCTTTATTAACTCAGTCACAATACATACATATACTAATAGGAAGTCGTCTAATCTGGTAATAAATAACGACAAAGGATGTCACATTTATATCAAAACATACGTGAATATTGGCGAACTGAGATGATACAAGATGTAATTAGCGTCTAAATGAAGGTAATGTGTATCTAGCCTAGATTTCCATCTATACACCACTTTCATATTTTCATTACTTTAATATATTTCCTTTTACAAATGTAATAGCAATCAAGCTGACAGCCCATCTGATTGACAAGACAGGAACAGCTCCACGAACTTAATTTTAACATGTGACACCTGTGGTACAACTCATACATCGCCATTACAAATAAAAAAGATGCCATGGCTTTGTACTCGGTAATTTCACTGCCATATGGTGTATATTCAATGGAAACACATCTTACTAAGTAAGCTGTGTGGCGACAGAGATATGTAGATAGAATTACCCACGTAGTAACTTTGTACAAAGTCTACCTTGGTGAAATAATTTGATTGTTTATGTTATTTAAAAATATATCTAATCATATTCATATATATTATTAGGATTATTCTATAGATCAGACTTAGGATATGCGTGTACAAAGGAACTAAAGATCATTATCATTATAACAATCATTATTGTAAAACTACTGAGAACGGATTTCCTCTCATAATAGGAGTATTTAACGCCAACGCCTATTTCACATGCTTGTTACAGAGATTATTTCCAAAAAGAAGCTCTTGTACTGATATATTTGTACTTTGTTCCCGTAGTTGGCGCCTACTGCGTATTTCAGAAATACTCGTAACAAGGAAAACCCTGATTATTTAAAATTAATAAACAGGTTCATATAACTATTAACGAATATACCTAATATTAGATAATTTAAGAATACTTACGTATTTTATCAGAATAACAATCACGTACGCAACAAACGTTCCAATTACATCAGAAAACATGATCAGAAACAGAGGTGACATTGCCGGTTTTGTTTAATATTTTTTAAAATTGCGAAATTGTTTACTCTTTACTAAAGAGATTTTCGTTTGGTTCGATTATCTTAGTAAGATATTCCGCTTTGCGATCCATAAAATTTAATATATGTCACGAAATGATTGTCGTCTATTACAATACTTCAGATGGAGAATTACTATAAAACACTAATAGATAGTATAATACTTCCTTTTCCTTACAATAGCATTTAACCCGTGAATTCTATGTTCGGTAAATTGTTACTCACACATCATAATATGTATAATGGATATACATACAAACATAAATAACAAATCAGAACTAGAAAATTTTGTTCAGAATATTTTCTTTATTCAAAACCATATGACATATAATTGAATAATGAAAATTGAAATTCTGGAATATAAAATGCATACACAAACTGTATATTCCTTATACCGAATACGATACTTATATAATTATGTAGATTGAATTTACGTGAAATATAATAAACTTGTATACTTTTCTAATCATAAGTAAAAGATATGTGTGATGTGATACAAGTCAAGTCAAAAAATTTTAACGCTTATCACTTAATATTACAAAGTGCATATCTACATATTAAGTTTAAAATAAGCAACTATAAATATACCCAATGAAGTAAACAAAGTGATCCTAATATATATTTAAATCTGTCTAATTAAAATAAATACTAGAATCAGCTGTTAAATTAATATAAGATAAAAAACGTAATGGTAACAAATAGCTATCAATTTATCAAAACAAGTTTAACAACTCATAACTTGTAATCATATTGGCAATTAATTCATTTCCATAAGAGGAGGAATACTTCTCTCATGGGAGGGAATCCATGGCAAAAAGGTATTCTAATATCATAGTTAGGGGGGAGAGCACGCCCTGAATTATTTCGGGTGCTTATAATGTTATGCATATATTAATATAATATACACCTATGTCCCTCTGGAATAACCTTTCAGACTTCTCAAGTCGTACACTCTCGGCAGAGCGCTCGTAGTTTTTATAAAGTATGGAGTGGATTGTCTGTGAGGTCCTTCTTGGGAATTGAGATCTTTTCAATTTGGTAAGCTGTTTGGTCGTGCAAGAACATTCCACAATAGCTGTGTGGTCGCGTTTCTTGAAGACAAAAACAGGTAACTTTTCAGAGAGTAAAATAATTTTTATAATTATCTGGAAAAATATTTTTTATTTTATTTTGAAAAAATATTATTATAATACAAGTATGGAATTATTGGATTAGCAAAGAACATCATTATGTTGGATTGTCCGACGGATACGGATTGCCCCTCAACCGGCGCCACAACGACGGTGCGATCTCTAGGTAGAATTAAAATACGTCATTTTATAGTATAATTGCATAGTATAATATTTACTATTGAGATGAAGGATATACTATCACGTATTTAATAAAAATAATAATACCTGAAATATTTATCTACATTTAATTACATAGAAATGTGATATTGATTGGGTAAGGAAGATTATAAAATAAATACATACAAGTATTTTAATGTAATGTAATTAGCGTTTTATTTTGTAGTAAATATTAGGTATGTGGTATGCTTATGATGACCAGTACCATCTACATTATGCATTGAAATATAAAAAGCACTACAAAATAACCTAACAAATATTCGTATTAATTTTATTATGTTTTTTTAATTTAGTTTAGTTCTATTTACAGGAATGTAAAATTATATTTTTTTATATCAAATCATGTTAGTACTCGGGTTAAGGTACATATAGAAGTGACCGTCTAGCACAGCGGTCAATGTCCTTGCTTATGACTTACACACTATGTTGTCGGTCTATGTAAATTGTATTTCTAATTTTACATAGTAGACGGTACAATGCCACCATAATGTTGAACTCGTGTCATTAGTTTGGAAAATGAGGCAAAATTTATAGTTTTATTTGCAAAAAAAAGGATACTTTATTTTAATAATAAAACCCAATGACGCCAATGTTATTTTTTATTTGATGTGATGTTATTTTGTTTACAATATAAATTTTAAAAGTATACCTATATTCTTATGAAAACAACATTTATAACAATATGGTTTATCACCATTAGTAATAACTGGAAAGAAATTATTCTTAGTTAATCGACTACCTATAATTAATAAATCGATGATTACAATTTGGCGCTAATGCTTTTACAAGTATTGATCTCTAATAGACATAAACAATCTTATCGTAATCTAATTATAATCATAGTCGGTACTACCTATTTGCGTGATTCAATATTTTTAATGTTTCAGTTGTTAGTAATTGCATTAATTCTTAATATATTATCTTTTAAAATTGAATTACAGGAAAGTGCTTCATCATATTTAAAATAATAGCATACTCATACTTCGTATCACCTTGTAACCTATCGTAGGCAGATTGTTGCAGATTACAATGAAACGCTAAATGCTTCAAATAGACCTCATTCCTCTCCCCTACCTTTATCTATTAATTCAATACCGTCAGTTACAAGTACTTTTAAATCGGTCCATTTTTAGCACATCATCTATCTTATTCGTTCATATGCCTAAAGCGGTCCCTGCCGACATCTCCGATCATTCTCGGTTGTTATACAGACATTTTAGTAAAGTAAATCTACTCTTCCCTCTTACCCATATTTTTTATACAACAAGACGCACCATTTTTTCAGTTATTGTTCACTATAGAAATATTAAATCCATGATTCCCTCTAATTACGCTAGTTTTCTGTTTTTGTTGTATATATGTATATACAACTAAAAATGAAATATAAATAATAAAATCACATAATGACATTTAGTACTAATCTAAGCTGAGTTTATAATTGTGTATCACACACGAAACTACTGATAGAAATAGGGATATTATTTTTCTTTGTAAATAAAATACATAATATAAGCTATACTCGTATTATGTATGTATACTGGTGTTTAGAAAACATCCAGACCAATACAATCAATGATACTCACAAATATAAAACTTTTTATCGTGTTAGATTCAAACACGCGATCATCAGAAGTATGACGGTGTACTAAATCACTAGACCACCTATGTTTATTTAAAATCGATATATATGCTACAAGGATGACCAAGTCGACCAATGACGTCAATTATATTCTTATGTATATAAAATAAACGGAAAATTGATACGGAGCAATACGAGGTAAATAGCATTTGTATTATGGGCGTGCAGGTATTTCTGGAATTGTCTTGGAAATATTTTAATGTCATTACGTATGGTTGAATTTTAAATACTACATTTATATGTACATGTTTTTTTTGCAGAGTAGACTAGTTCACAACTATTATACGAGATTTGTCGTGGGTGAAACCAAACGGATAATATGATATGATATGAGACTTATTTTTAAATCTTATATTGTTCTACTTCTTCTATAGTTGTTACTTGGGGAAAAGCTTGGTTGCGGTTATTAGAATTATGTTCATTGCAGCGATCTGATAATAAAATTAAAAGATAGTAAGGACGTGATACCACTGGTGTTTCAGGCGTCTGTAGGCTACCGTGACCGTTTACCACCAGATGGACCGTATTGCCACCATCGTAGTAGAAAAAAAATCATTGGGCTTTCTCCTGTGCTGATTCCATACCAAAATCATCAAAATTGAAGTCGCTTTTAAAAAACTAATTTAATAGAAAGAGACACTAAACTAACATAACAAACATAGGCATTACGTAATAGATATAGATAGGTGACCACTAGGTACCTATTACATACGTGTATAGTTAGATTCTCTACTGACCTATATTAAATTAAATTGGCGACTTCGGCCCATATTGCTCTCATTCAAGGATTTTTCATTGTAACGGTTGCTATTCAGACTACATTCAAAGATTGTTAGATGTAATATTACAATATTTTTGTAAAATAAATAAGATTTATATCTTAATATTGATATGACATTAAATAAGTAGATGTTTTACAAAAGTAAAAAAGCGACAATTCATAAGATACTGATAAGGAGTCACGGTCCTTTAAACAAACACCCGAGCATAATAAGAGCAAGAGTCAGCTCACTTGGGCGAGGTTGTTTTGAAACCTAAGAAGCAGCCGCCTACGTAATCTTAGAGAGTGTAGCAGGCCACCCAACGCGTATTAATCCTTGGATTAATGAGTTCTTTCTATGAGGTCTGAGAAGGTATCTAGGTTTAGCTTGCCTGGATAAATTAGTCGATTCTAATGGAGTCTATAGGTGATTTAACACCTTTAATAAAATTGGTATTTAGATTGTTAAAAAAAGTGGTGAATTAAGGCCCAGGATTAAAGACTCTAGATAATAGGCCATATCTAAGTACCTACTAAAGCTTTATAGAATTATGTATGAATTTGTTTATAAAAAATTCTTGTGGTCGCCCAGCCTTGAATTAATCACCATGCAAAAAGATGGCAAACGTCAGTATTGCCCAACGAATACGGTGGTTTGTAAACGGAAACCACCGACTAAGTATATAAACGAATACGAGTTAAGCAACCCGTCATCCATGTAATAGACTGAAGGTCTCAAATGAAACCTTCAGTGGGCATTCGCTCATTCAGTTTACACTTGAGTGGCATTGGTTCAATGCTACCTACGGAACACAATACCTACATAATAGTAAGTATTAAATAGTTATATAAATTAACTATTAAACTATTTTCATTGAGAAACAGTTATTTACCTTTCGTGTACCTACTGAATTAAAGTATAAACATGTTGCCAGTGGGGAATATAAAACGTTATATATAGGTTGCCCTCTAACTTAGCGCAATCAGAGACATTTGTTACTAACAGTGTAAAGCCATGAAATAAAAAAAACAATTTAGAAGAATATAGAGTAAGAAAAGTACCTAATATCAGTAACTGTTTATGATTTACGAAACAGTTATGGTTTTGACGGCGCGGCGTTGACCACCGAAGGGAATTAAATGCAAGTTCGCACGCAAATTGGTATTGTAACATAATAATCGTGTAAAATCGATTTTCCAATAGATTTGTACACATTTTATATCACCGTAAACCCCTATTTATCAAATTTCATCACAATTGTAGTAGCCGTTTAGTTGGAATACTTTAGAAATTCAACATTTTTCTAAATATATACAAAATTTATAGTACAATATATGTATGTATGTTTGATGATGAAAAAATATAAGTAATATACCTAATAAATGTATCAATTGTATTTATCAGCTGCTAATGGAAAATTAATACATAAATCTAAACAAATACAGCAATAAGTATAAATTTGTATTTCCAGACATAAAATGGATTTCATTTGATAAAGCATATATGTAATGGGTCCACGTTTATATAACTAGCTTCCATCATTTATTAAGATTTTGTTGACCTACGTAATTTTAAGAATTCTAATAACTTAATCATATTAATCCTTAATTGATTATATTGAAGACAAATTTTAATATTGCCATAAATGTAAACATTTCTACAGTAAATGTTGGCATTTATATTTCCAATTTGCAACCTCTACGTTGCCATTCCTGTTATATAAAACATAACAATGTGATACCTAAATACGGGTATACCAGGTGGCTGGCGGTCAAATATTTATTTAGGTCATGCATTCGGAAGCTATGCTATGAGTTTACTGTTACAGCATCCGCGGTCTGCACTCACGAGAGCGGAAATAACGGAATCATCGCCAAGCTTTTGTTTTGTCGCTAATTGGGATGGTGACAATGGCTATAATTAGATTGCAGATTATTGTACAATTACTGATTGAAATACTATTTAGAATGTTCATATTTACTATATATGTAAATATCTATAGATATATTGTCACGCGATTTCATTATCAAGCAAATAAAAACGAAAGTCATTACTCTCATCCTAACTTCGTTTGTGAAGTTATAATTCTTCTATTAGATTAAATTACTGCAGTCGAGGTATGCATATATGGAAAAAGTATTCGCCTACCATGGTATCACTAAAACCATACCATAACCATAAAAAAATGTTTTATATTATCTCGCACATAATGTATATTACCCACATTATGGTAAGCAAGATCTGCACATGGATATGTAAACAGGACAAAAGTTTATAAAATATGTAAGAATATGTAAGGATCGCTTGTGTAAAAGATTTCAAATTATATGTTGTGGGCGTAAGATTTGGGGGCCTTGATCCTACGCAAAGCTCTTCGATGACATGAACTCAAATTCATAGCCATGACAGTTTGTATTACTCATGATTGATTATATGATATTTCGCATCACACTGTCTACTAATGTTATAAACGAATATTCTTGTGAGTGTGTATGTATGTATTGATACTTATTCCCACAAAAATTACTGGATTCGAATTAAATTTTGCGCACAGATAGATCCTAGATTAAAACTTTTTAACCACAATTTACACGCGTAGAGTTGCGTGAAACATCTACTATAAAATATATTGAACCATTCATGGGAACATATGAATTGTAAGAAACTTCTATAAATAATTTCCTATTTATAAACGTTCACGCACACCTCGATTTCTGTTATGGCACGCTTACTAGTGAATTTAACATAAATATTATGATTAAAAAATACGTTAGAGGTTATTACCTCTATATAGCAGTATATTCAGACATATTACCAATTTATGAAATTATTGACATTCATAAAGAAAAAAAATTGGAGATCTAAAATCTAGTATAAATTAGGAATACTTGTGAGATCACTGTTCATCACTGACCTTGTATGTATTTAAGTGCCTAACAATAACACAATTTAACACTATCGGTAGAGTAGATCGTTGTATTCAACATTGGAAGAGGAGGAGAATCCGGTTAGAAATTCAGACTTTTTCATAAATGGCTTTCCCAATTCGAAGCTATAATACTGAATCCTGTCATATGCCAATTCCAAGTTACAATTTTAATTGGACTTATGGAAATAAAGATACATAAAAAGATCTTTTATTATTACATTAGCTAAACTCTATAGTACTAAAAAACTATAAGTAATACCTTTAATAATAATTAATTTAATATATTTATAGCGATAAATTGATTCCACCAATTGCATCTAATCATTTCATTTATAATAAATATATATAATAGAATGTACATGACCATGTAAAATTAAGACGTCGATTTCATTTCATAGAACATATGAACCTATGGTTAAGCAAAATATATTGAAAATATAATGGACGTGTATAGTTTATGGCATGCCTACTCCATATTATGCACCACGTAAAAGTAGTATACGATGAGATGCAAAAATACAGTCTTTTCATCGAAACTTATTAACCGAATACCAGAAAGTATTACGTGGCCGATCAATTGGTGACAGTGGCAAAATAAAACTAAACTACGATAGGGTGTAAAAACGTACGTTTGTAAGCGAAACCGTTCACCAATTTATTTGTGTAAATGACAGTAAATCTATATAAAAATTAACAGTGAACGTTAACGAAGGTCAGTCAACGGATTCATTGCTAACTAAAGTCCTATTTTTCAGTACGTTTCAATGACATTAGCCTTTACATTTTATTAGATCTATAATCATAATTATTTATACATATATTGAAATAATTTTTACTTAAACGTATAGTACAGCGCGAGCACTTTATAAATCCAGCTATTAATGATACGTTTCGATATTTTGTTACTCGTCTCTATGAATATACAAGCTCAAAATGAAAACAAAACTTAATTAAATCTTAAAATAATAATAATAACCACCACCAGTGTTAGTGTAAGCAATATATATTATTATAAGTAAAGATACTATTTATTACTATAAGTCTGTCATGTGCATATTTGTTGGTCCATACGGTCGGGTCTTATAAAATGAATAAAATAATAAATAATATAATTAAATAGATTTATTTTCTATACCTAAATACTAAATAAATTAAATTAATATTGTAGATCACAGTATATTTATAT